TAAAATATGATCTATATATCTTTCTAATATCATTTTAAAATTATTGTGAGCTCCAATTTACGTAATCTTTTAATGTAGATATCTTTGTAATCTAATATTACGTAATCTTTTTCTATATATCTTTCTAATCACACATTTGAATAATTTCATCTAGACATTTACCTCTAGTAAAAATATTGCAAGATCAACTCACCCCTTCACTTCTTTTCAATGATATATTCAAACACACACATCTACTATGTACTCAATTGTTTTTGTTGACAACTTCACCGATGTGCATCTACTTCTAAAATACTAGACCACTCTTTGAAGTATTCAAATGATACCAAATTTTAATATGAAAAAAATAGTAACCTATCGTTGAGCATATGAGGAATATCTAATATTTATAATCTTGAAAATTAATTGGTAGATGATTCTTATTGATAATGAACCGTTGAACCACGACCAACTCATGATTTCAACATAAAATAACTTGCCGCTAACTTTTACAGTTTCCGGCACGGTTTTACAATCATGGAGAAAATTCTCCCAACACTGAAAACTGAGAGGAGCACGACTCGTGATTTTTTTTCAAGGAAAGGATATTACGTCTCATTCCCATATCCAAAGCCAGAAGAAAGTAAAGGACTAGTTTGACCCTGTTGTAGTTTTTGTAGAAGCAGCTTCTGGCTAAAGCTTATAAAAAAAAGTATTTTTCAAAAAAAGCAGTTGAGTGTTTGAATTTATAACATAACGTCAAATGTACATGCTCATTTAGCCCAGGACATACAGAGACCACACACAAGTTCATTTAGCCGAGCTCATCTACTATGCTGCGAAACATTGAATTTATAACACAACGTCAAATATACATGTTCAATTTGTATCATTAAGCTTTTGTACCTAAAAATATAAAATATAAAATAAATGTTGGTTTGTGATTGTGAGTCGGTCTACTCTAGCAAAGGCCGTATAAAATTGACCTATGATTGCATCAGCAGGATGACAACTGCCAATTGGACTTGTTTCGCGCGATTGGATCTTTCGCTTTGTTCCCTTTTCCCTCCTCTTTAAAGATCGTCAATTTTAGTATAAAAAAGATGATCAGTTTTGTATCTAGTTGAGTATATTATTATATTAACTTAATGACCTTTCATTTTTAATACATTTGGGCGCGACACATTTTTCTTATTTTGGCTGTATTTCTGATTAAAACTAAAGTAGAATTATAAGATATAAAATTATAATCAATCAAACAAGTTATAATCTCAATTTTAAATGATTCCATATATTTTACTCGTAAACATGTACTTATAACAATTCTTAGCTAACATTTTCAGAAGTGCTTAAAATACAAGCACTTGCAACCAATTTGAATTTTCATGCAAGCTTACATATTTTCTTGTACGTTATTATTATATAATTGAAGATTAAAATAATTTTAGTACGTATTAAGCTAATTCAACAAAGTTAAATAACGCAAATTAACCAACATTGCGTAAAGGAAAAGTGAATCTCTGTGTGTATCTCCCGAATCCGTCTGAAATCCCAGCATTAATTTAAATTTAATTAAAAGGTCAAATATTTTATTTTTTTAATGGTTAAAGGCCAAAAAATCAAATATCGTAGAAAAGGGGAAAAATACATAATAATTGAGCTGGGAGACCTGAGAGGAGGAATGGATTTGGACAGTGTAAAAGCAGAGCGAGAGAGAGAGCGAGAGAGAGAGAGTCCACATTCACAAATCACAACTGGCCAGCTGCTGCCAAATGCCAATTCCCTCCCTTTCCCTTTCCATTTCTGATTTTTTATTTTAATTTTAATTTTGCGTCCTTTTTTGACAACAAATCATAATATATTTTTTTGTTTCAAAAAACAGAATTTCCCGAAATAAATTCCTTCCTGTCCAAAAATCAGTTTCCCGACCACCGCCCGCACTACAACACACACAAAATTCAATTACCCGCCCTCCCATTCCTTTCAATCTCTTCCCCTTCTTCTTCTTCTTCCTCCACAGTTCATCATTAATGGCGATCTCATCGCCGTCGTCACTCTCTCCGCCGCCGTCGTCTTCTTCCTCCTCCTCCTCATCGACCACGTCAATTCCTCAATCGCGATTGCCATCTCCGGCTCCTTCACCCCTAATTAAATAACAAACAACCACAAATACAGCACTACGTACCCCCATCTCTATATTAATTGCTCCCAATTTTGTTCTGCCCTTTCTCTTCCTCTTCGTCTTCTTCTCCTGTTCTGCACAGCAGCTCTGTAATCTTCCATTTCATTTGTCATTTATATATGGGACACCACCCTCATTCCCACGCACATTCAGCACAACACCAGCGATGGCGTCTCGCAGCGAGTCAATAGCCCTCGCTTCACGGGCTCCATGACTCGCCGGGCCACTTCCTTCAAGCGCAACCCCAACGCCACCACCAACGCCGCCCCCGCAGCCGCTGTCTCCGCCGCCGGTAATGCGACGGGCGCCGCGGGCAACGGCGGCGGTGGCAGCGCTGCTCAGACGGCAAGCAACAGCACGGCCAACAGCGCCGGGGCCAGTCCCAGGTTCGGCTCCGGGGGGGGACGAGATTGATCTCCAGATCACCTCGCCTAGATCTGAAGTCGTCGTCGTGGACGGTTTCGATCGCCAGCACCTCGTCCAGAGAGTACACGCCGGTGTCGCCAGGAGTAGTAAGAAGGGCGGCGGGGGAATCGGATCCGTCGTACGGGATTTTGGCTTCCGGGAGCGGAAAGAAGCTCGGGCAGTGGATGTTCTTTGTCTTCTGCGGCGTTTGTTTGTTTCTAGGCGTGTTTAAGATTTGCGCCGGCGGCTGGTTTGGATCTGCGATCGACGGCTCCACCTACCATAAGGTCGGTGTGGTGTGCCCCTTTCTCGCTCTGTCTCCCTCTTCTCTTTTTCAATTTACTTTTGGAGCTTCCATTGGCACAGAAGTTTGTGGTTTGGAATTTAGAGCTTTGTCCTACAATGTCGGTGGCCGAGCTTTTTTGTGCTAAGTGCCATATGTGTCGCCCGGAGCTGATGTCATTCTGGCAAATGGTGCCAGTCTCCAGTTATCCAGCCGGAGCTGCTTGCCGGCGGTTTTTTTGATTACTTGCTGGCTTCAGGCTAATTGTGAATCTCAGTGCAGTTGAATGAAGTATCGCCGTTGATTTGCTTTTTGGATAATGGATTCCTATTGCTTTCATTAAGATCTAGCAGTAGTGAGACAGATACAGACGGAAGTAGGTGCACTGCTACTATGAGTAAAATTCCATATGCCTCGTTTTAGATTGTTGGCTCGAATTTCCTGCTTTGAATTTTGCCAATTCGGGAATTCCAATGAACCTCCACTCCTGGGTTTTGTTTGATTTTGGTTGCCTCGCTTAGCTATGTGCGCTCCTCGTGTGGATATCTATGCATTGATTGTTATTTTCCTCGGCCTCTGTAGTAACATTGCCCTGCTGTTCCAATAGGATTTGCCTGATTCTGTCACCCAAGTAGACTTGGATGAGAGCTCCCACATTTCTGACACTTTCGAGTATAAAGACAATGGCGATGGAGATAGAAATCTGAAGGCGGTCACTGCAGGGCGTATCTCTTGGTGATGATGCCAAGGTGGAAGTAAGTCTTCAGTCTCATTAGTCTATCCTTCATTTTGGGTACTTGTTTTGTGATTGCTTACTGTAATTACTACACCTGAATGAAAAAGGATGTGGATCGAAATCTAAAAATGGTGACCGCTGGACTAGCTAACAGTATTGGTGGCAAGGTTGAGGTAAGGGTTGAGTTCCATTCTCTTTTTCTTCATTCAGATGGTGGCTTCATACCTTCCCTTGCCCCTGTGGCTACTCAGAGTGAAAAGGGTTCTGAGGTTCAATGTGTTATGTGGGTTTTATTCTGAAGTTCATTTTTTATGGTTCTAGTATGTCAGGTATCTGGGCAAGACCTGACAGTGATAATTTCACCCACTGCATTGACTTACCAAGAAGTCATAAAAGTATGATTACTGAACAGTTTGAACATTTAGTAATCCCTCTCCTCTCATCCATATTCAGTTCGTCTATCTCCTCTGCTGTTTACAGTTGTTCGTTACCTCTAATTCTTGGTCTCATGTCTTGACAGAGCTAGATGCAAAAACAAATGGTTATATCCTCATAAATGCTAATGGTGGCTTAAATCAGATGAGATTTGGGGTCTGGCTGCTTATTCTCCTTTATTTCTTAGTTTCTATTTCGTGATTGTTCCTTTATTTTTATGACTACATCCTGATCATCTGAAAGCTCTTAATGTGTAGATCTGTGACATGGTTGCTGTGGCTAAGATTATGAAGGCAACACTGGTCCTTCCCTCTCTTGATCATACCTCGTATTGGGCCGATGACAGGTTTGTATATTAAGCTTCACGGTCTTGCACTATTTCTGTAAGGTCTAGATTTCCCTATTTGATAGAATAATGGATGCCACAAGCTCCAACTTATTTCATCTGATATGGGTATATTGCTCAAAGGGCCCTGATTTCTTGTGGACAAGAATTTGTATCTTAATAAGACTACATGCTGGATCATGGTATCCCGAGAGCTTTTCTCAACTCAGTCAGTACTGGAGTATGTAATAAATGCAAGGCTCAATAGTCATTCATTTCCTCTCTTAGTTGATACTAATACAGATGCAATATGTTCTTTTTATTTTATCGGTATTAAGTGAAGCAAACTTATTTGCATCATATGGTTCAGTGACTTCAAGGATCTGTTCAACTGGCAACATTTCATTGAGACACTACAGGATGAAGTACACATAGTTGAGCACTTTACCAGCACCTTATTCAGGAGTGGAGCCTTTTATGAAAACACCAATATCTTGGTCTAAGGTCGGTCACCTTAACTTTTGTTCCTTTATTAGTTTCTTGAAGTCCTAAAATAATGAATGATAAAGTTTTTCTACTCTCTAAACGAAGAGGATTCTATTCCCTTTGTGCAGGTTACTTATTATAAAACCGACGTCTTTGCCATTGCTGAAGCAGCACAGAGTAGTCTACTTTACGCACACTGATTCTCGGATTGCAAACAATGGTATCCCGGATTCAATCCAAAAACTAAGATGTCGTGTGAATTATAGGGCATTGAAATATGCCAAACCAATAGAAGAACTTGGAAACTTGCTGGTGGCAAGAATGAGAGGAAATGGCAAATCCTTACCTTGCACTTCATTTGAGGTTGGTTCTGGTTGTGGCTTTACTAAACCCTGTGTTTCAGTTCTCTAGAATCCTTTACCTATTGCCTCGTCTTTTGAAATACTGGTTGCATAAAGTAAACACACCGTTAGTTGTATTATAAAAAAGGTGCTTCTGCAACAAGCATGCTTCTAATATTTTTCAGGTTCTAGTCATTGTGCATGCTATGTTGACTCATGTCATGTTCTCCATTGGCTACAGGTATGAGAAGGATATGCTTGCATTTACTGGCTGCAGTCACAGTTTAAGTGCAGAAGAGGACGAGGAGCTACGCATCATGCGTTATGAAGTGAATCATTGGAAGGAGAAAGAGATAAATGGGACAGAAAGAAGGTTGCAAGGTGGTTGTCCATTGACTCCTAGGGAGACTTCTCTACTGTTGAGAGCACTGGGTTTTCCTTCCAGCACTAGGATTTACTTGGTAGCTGGCGAGGCCTATGGGAATGGGAGCATGCAGTATCTCGAGGACGACTTCCCGAACATCTTCTCGCATTCATCTCTTGCTACAGAAGAGGAGCTGGAACCTTTCAAGAATCATCAGAACATGTTGGCTGGTATAGACTATGTTGTTGCACTTCAGAGTGATGTGTTTTGTGTATACATATGATGGAAATATGGCTAAGGCAGTTCAGGGTGCACCCGTCGATTTGAGAACTTCAAGAAGACCATCAACCCCGACAAGTAATAGTCTCTCCCCAAAAAACATGACCTCCGAAAATGTTATTTTTGCAGTTAGACAAGCGCTTCGTACGTAGCTGTTTGTCATGTTTTGCTTCATTGTTTTGTTGCAGGATGAACTTTGTGAAACTTGTGGATGAGCTAGACGAGGGGACATTGTCATGGAAGAGGTTCAGTTCCAAAGTGAAAAAGCTTCACCGGGATCGTGATGGAGGGCCATACTATAGGGAGGTAGGAGAGTTTCCGAAGCTGGAAGAGAGTTTCTATGCAAATCCTCTACCAGGGTGCATATGTGAAAAAGGGAAGGAGAAAGTAAAACCAGAAGTCAGAGGCAGAGAGAAAGCTCTCCCCCCCTTTTTTTCACTCTCCAAACAGGTTGCGCCCAACTCCAGAAGCCTGACTTTGAGGAGAGGTATGGTGCTGCCTGCCATTCTTCCACAAGTATTAAGTCGGAAACTGGCGTTTGTACATCTCGTCGTCGACCTTTTTAAGAACTGTTTCTACTTGATAGGAGAGAACCTGGAAACATTCAACAGCAAGAAAGAAAAGTGCATAGCTGAAGGAATGGAGGAGGGAACCATTGGCATTGATTGTAGTCATAGCTCCACAACTTTAATTTTTTTGTGTGTGTACAAAACACAACACCGACACGAATACTAATGTATGTAGCCACCGAGGGATATGGAAAAGCTGTAAAATGTCGGCTCAATTGGGGCTGAACAGGGTTGAGTTTGCACTTAAAAAGCGGCTCCAGATTTGTTGGAGCTACCATATACACATTGGATGATGGCTTAGTGAGTAGAGTTTATATTCATTCTTGGATGTCAATAAAACCTTAAACAGGACTGTCAATTTTGAAAGCAAATGACACTGTTTCAAGCTGTGCTTTATGCAGTTCAATAAGGTTGCTGAACTTACAAGCATTGACATTAAACAGGTTCACTGTTATGCTCACATCATGATGTGACCATTTCAACGTCGATTAGGAGACCAGATCATATCTCGTCGTAGAACACATTAAACCTCCATAACGAGCATAATTTAAACACAATTCCACCGTTTGATTTATTCATCCATCTTGTCGAATTGCAAGTTTGTCTGCTATCCTGTTTGGAAAGGCTAAATTTTGAGAAAATGAAATTCTAATTCTAAAACTTTTCAGGATTCTCCTGTTTGGAAGTAAAAAATGAAAAGGAAAATGGAATTCCAAAAGGTAAAAAGTTGGAAATTCTAAATCCTACCAAAAGTGGTCGGAATTGGTGGAGAGAGTGATGGAATTAGTGAACCCCGCATTAATTTTGACCCATCTTTACAAGAAAGTTCTTGCTATTTTGAGTTTTAAATCATTAATACCAAGGATATTATTGTAAAAGCACGGTAAGAAATCATTTTAATTTTTTTCTAAACATAAAAAAAAATAAAATCATTTCCCAAACTTTTGGATTTGTTCCAAACATAAACTCTTGAAATGAATTCACACTTGAATTCAGGTTCTCACAAGAAATAGAATTCATTTTCCAACAAAATTATATTCAAACAAGCTCAATGTGCACGTTGTATCCCTACATTTCTTCTCTTGTTCTTCAAACTTGAAACAGTTCTCGACTACATGGTTGTCCATCTTGCAGTACCTGCAAAACAATCTCTCACTCGAACCATCCCTACCAACCTCTCTTGCTTCCACTCGTAATTCGCGCACCCTAACTGTTTGAGCCTAGAATGTACTAGGCGGTTATGGGGCTCTGATCTGGACTCCCTCATCTGATCTCCTCGGGAGTGGAAGAACCTGTGAGGCGGGGGGGCGGCCCCCGGGATCTACGCTCCGACGCCCAAGTTAGTACGATATAGGAAGCGGTTTATGGTATATAGAGAGAGAGTTTAGAGAGAGACCTTAGGGTAAGAGTGTGGGAAGGGAAGAGAGGATCCTTTAGTTTGGAGGGTTAGGCCTCCTTATATAGGGTTGGGCTTCCTTGAGTGGGCTTGGGCCCAGGACGCCTTGCGGTGGGCTTGGGCCCGTTTATAGTCGTGTAGGCATATTAATCCATACCCAACAATTGCCCCTTTACTTCTTGTATTCTGTAAGAATGAAAGGAGTAATATAATGCATTAATCGTGTGATTAATTTGCCTTACTTGCGAATCCGTATGATGCGGTTTGCCCCTAGTGCGAGTTGCGTGATCATTTCCTCTGCCCCTTGCTTATCTTTCGATGTCTTAAACTAAAGCTCTCAAGTCGTTAAAAGTTCCTTCGCTAGTCCATTGTTGTTAGCGCTAGTAGACCATAATTGATACCTAGGTAGGGTGGCCCCCACGGCTTGAGAGTTTTAACTCAAGACGCTCTTGTTTAGTGTTTCTTCGGCTCACTGGGGTGTGCTTCTGCTTCTGGAGAAGCGCATCGCTCCTTCGCTTCCAAGGAGGCGCATTAGTCCTTCGGCTTCCTGGGAAGCGCTTTAGTCTTCGATTTCCTGGAAAGCGCATTAGTCATTGGTTTTATGGGAAGTGAAGTCTCCGACTTCCTGGGAAGCAAATCTCTCCCTTTGGCTTTCTGGGAAGCGCATGCTCCTTCGCTTCCTGAGAAGCGCATCACTCCTCGGCTTCATGGGAAGCGCATTGCTCCTTCGCTTTTTGGGAAGTGCATTGCTCCTTCGCTTCCTGAGAAGCGCATTGCTCCTTCGTTTCCTGGGAAGCACATTTCTCCTTCGCATCCTGAGAAGCGCATTGCTCCTCCGCTTCCTGGGAAGCGCATCGCTTCTTCGCTTCCTGGGAAACGCATTGCTCTTCGGCTTCCTGGGAAGCGCATCGCTCCTTCGCTTCATGGGAAGCGCTTTGCACCTTAGTCTTTCATCCTATGAGAGGCGCTCCGCCTTCTTGCCTGATGGAGGCACTCCGTCTCTAGCCCGCCGAGCAATGCTCGAGCCTTGCCCAAAGGCGGAAGGCGTGAATCATTCCCCAGAGGGAGGACCGCTCGGAGGTGGGAAGAATTCCCCGGAGGGAGCATCGCTCGGAGGCGGAGTCTTCGAGCCTAACCCGGAGGTCGGATGGCGTGAGTCATTCCCCAGAGGGGAGGACCGATCGGAGGCGGGAAGAATTCCCCGGAGGGAGCATCGCTCGGTAGGCGGAGTCTTCGAGTCTAACCCGGAGGTCGGAGGCGTGAGAGTTATTCCCAGAGGGAGGACCGCTCGGAGGCGGGAAGCATTCCCCGGAGGGAGCATCGCCCGGAGGCGGTAAGCATTCTCCGGAGAGAGCATCGCTCGGAGGCGGGAATCTTCGAGCCTAGCCTGGAGGCATGAGGCGTGATTCTTCGAGTATCCGAGAAAGATGCAAGTATCTAGGGTGCCATATATTTAATGTTTGAATATAGCATAGAGAGCGACCTAGCATAATAGTAATTAACTGCTTTGCATAAGATATATCATCTGTAAAAGCAACTTAGCTTTGAGAGAAGTTGGAGGGCGGTTAAGTATTGACCGCTGCATGTTTGATCAACTCTGTGTCCATGTAGTATACTGGTTGGCGCTGGCTGCCCATGAAGGAATTGTCTGCGGTTCGAAGGTTGGTGGATGCGCATGCTGATCTTTTTTCAATAAAGCGTGTGTGGGCCGCCTAGGCGAGCCGGGCCTCAGCGGGCCTATCATTGAAGCTTTGTTGGCGGTCAAACATCGAAAACGGGCCTTTATAGAGCTGTCGGAGACTTGGTGGGCTTTGCGGTTTCTTGATGTAGCGATCCGGGGCGGGTTGAGAATTTGGAGGGGCGGGCCCATTCTACGCGGGTGGTGAAGATGAAGACTGAACCGTTCCTAATAGTTGTTTGCTTTGGTGGAAGCGGCTCACGAGAAAATAGAGAATGAAGCGGTCTTGATATAGAAGATGCTCTTGTAGTCTGCTGGTATGTGGACCTTGATTTAAAAGTATAATGCTTTTTGGTAGAACGCATTTCTTTCAATATTTTTGGGGTGAGGCGACCCCACGGTGGGCGCCAAATTGTCGCATTTCTTTCAATATTTTTTGGGGTGAGGCGACCCCACGGTGGGCGCCAAATTGTTTGAGCCTAGAATGTACTAGGCGGTTATGGGGCTCCGATTTGGACTCCCTCATCTGATCTCCTCGGGAGTGGAAGAACCTGTGAGGCGGGGGGGCGGCCCCCGGGATCTACGCTCCGACGCCCCAAGTTAGTACGATATAGGAAGCGGTTTAAGGTATATAGAGAGAGAGTAGTAGAGAGACCTTAGGGTAAGAGTGTGGGAAGGGAAGAGAGGATCCTTTAGTTTGGAGGGTTAGGCCTCCTTATATAGGGTTTGGGCTTCCTTAAATGGGCTTGGGCCCAGGACGCCTTGCGGTGGGCTTGGGCCCGTTTATAGTCGTGTAGGCATATTAATCCATACCCAACAATTAATCCATACCCAACACTAACCTCGTCCAAAGCATCACGAAAACTAGGCAAAGGGTCCCTAACCAGCAACCGATCCCTGACGGTGCTAAATTTCTCATTCAACCCATTAAGGAAGCTTACCACGCGCTCTTCTTCCCGATACTTGTTTAGAGCTTTCACAGCCTCACAGTCGCAGTTACATTTAGGAATCGGCCTGTGAAAACGATACTCTGCCCACAGGGCTTCGAATTTGGAGTGGTAGTCCGTGACAGAGAGGTTACCTTGTCGGATGGTGAAGATCTGAGTGTTTGAGTTCGATTAGGCGAGCTGGATTTGGTCTTCCGAACGACTTCTCCAGTTGCTCCCACAGCTCGGCCGCTGTTTCGACTTGGTAGAAGGTTTGGGCAATTGGATCGGTGAGGGTGTGGAGGAGCCACAGCAGAACGGTGGCGTTGGACCTTGCCCAGTCGCGGTGATTTGGGTCGGTGGGGCGGTGGCGGCGGAGGGTTTCTTGATTTCGCCGTTGACGTAGCCGATTAGGCCGGCGGCTGTGAGGGCTACGGTTACGCGACGGTACGGCTCCATTGCGTGTGCTCGGGGTAGAAGTTTTGTATAAATGTATCGCCATGCTATTAAGTATTTTGATTCAAATTCTTTTCTTTCTAAGAGGTGGAATAGAATAACCCGGTTGAAGCGTAATGATCATACGTCTGTAATGCATTGTATGTCCCATAATAGGTCTCATTCTTCTACCCTTTCCCGGGAGTCGATGACTATTCATAGCTATTACCTTGACACCAAAGAAGAGTTCGACCCAATGCTTTATTTCTGTCCTAGTTGATCCCGATTCGACATTAGAAGTATATTGATTTTTCCCCAATAACCGAATACTTTTGTCTGTACATACTGCATATTTGATTCCATCCATAAATCGATTTTTCTTCCCAAATGAGTTATAGTCTCAATAAGAATGCTAGTTCTTACTGTTCATATGTTATGATATGAATATATCATACCAATTCGTTATGTATGAATGATGAGATTCCATTGATACAGAGCCAATTCCAATAGACTTATTGGAGGGTCCCATTGGCGTGCATCCAGTAGGAATTGAACCTACGAATTCGCCAATTATGAGTTGGGCGCTTTAACCATTCAGCCATGGATGCTTAGCAGGGATCCTCGTACATGGTGAATAACCAAATTCCAATTGAAATGAAATCTTTAGGATAAATCAATGCAATTTAGGAGGAATCAATGAAAGGACATCAATTCAAATCCTGGATTTTCGAATTGAGAGAGATATTGAGAGAGATCAAGAATTCTCACTATTTCTTAGATTCATGGACCCAATTCAATTTTAGTGGGATCTTTCATTCACATTTTTTTCCATCAAGAACGTTTTATAAAACTCTTGGACTCCCGAATTTGGAGTATCCTACTTTCCCGCAATTCACAGGGTTCAACAAGCAATCGATATTTCACGATCAAGGGTGTAGTACTATTTGTAGTAGTGGTCCTTATATATCGTATTAACAATCGAAAGATAATCGAAAGAAAAAATCTCTATTTGACCAGGGCTTCTTCCTATACCTATGAATTCCATTGGACCCAGAAATGATACATTGGAAGAATCCTTTGGGTGTTCCAATATCAATAGGTTGATTGTTTCGCTCCTGTATCTTCCAAAAGGAAAAAAGATCTCTGAGAGCTGTTTCTTGGATCCGAAAGAGAGTACTTGGGTTCTCCCAAGAACTAAAAAGTGTATCATGTCTGAATCTAACTGGGGTTCGCGGTGGTGGAGGAACTGGATCGGAAAAAAGAGGGATTCTAGTTGTAAGATATCTAATGAAACCGTCGCTGGAATTGAGATCTCATTCAAAGAGAAAGATATCAAATATCTGGAGTTTCTTTTTGTATATTATATGGATGATCCGATCTGCAAGGACCATGATTGGGAATTGTTTGATCGTCTTTCTCCGAGGAAGGGGCGAAACATAATCAACTTGAATTCGGGACAGCTATTCGAAATCTTAGTGAAAGACTGGATTTGTTATCTCATGTTTGCTTTTCGTGAAAAAATACCAATTGAAGTAGAGGGTTTCTTCAACCAAGAAGGAGCTGAGTCAACTATTCAATCAAATGATATTGAGCATGTTTCCCATCTCTTCTCGAGAAAGAAGTGGGCTATTTCTTTGCAAAATTGTGCTCAATTTCATATGTGGCAATTCCGCCAAGATCT